GCTACTGGAGACTTTGGAGACAACATCTAAAAGCAGCGAACTCTGCTCTCCAGAGCGAGTAGATTGGTAACCCCCCCATACAAAACATAGAGAGGAAAACAAGAAGAAAAGGGACAAGAAGAGAGGGACACAACCTAGAACAGATAATGGATGTCTATTCTATTAATATTTCTCTATCTGTAGAATGGGGCTGATTAATGTGTTCTCCATTCAGAGGGGCCCCTGCCTGTCTTTGCCTAGGGCCTCAAAGTTCCTAAATCTGCCCCTGAGACAATGTTTAAATTGATGATTTAGCTTAAAAAAGAATAAAAATCAGGTGTTAAATATCTAAATAGCTCATTTTAAAGGTGAAACTCTTCCTTCCTTTTGCAGTTAATCTTATTTTTTACTCAAATTAAGGCCAAATTCTTCAATTCTTCAAAGTTTTTAGATTTTCTGGATGTTTTTTTGCAGCAGCTAAACGTCCAGGTGATCTGACCCTCTCCTCTCCTCACAGGATGAGGAGTGTCTGAGACCTGGAGATGCCAGTGACTTCACCTTCCTGGAGAAGCTGGAGAACACCATGGGGGGGCATCCGCACTTCGTCACGTCAGTTTGCTCCTCAATCTGCCGCCGTTTGTCTCGGATTCTGATGCAGAAGGTTTGTTTTTCACTCTGCTGCCGTTTGTTCTCACAGACACAAGCTGGGCGATGGAAAGACCCGGAAGGTGATGGGCCGGGAGGAGTTCAGGCTGCTGCACTACGCCGGAGAGGTCAACTACGACGTGAACGGTGCGTAGAAACGGGCCGCTCCATTCCTCGCCTCAGAAACTGATCTAAAAATAAGAAAAAACTAAACAAAAGGAGTTAATTTTTCCTTCATCTGAGCAGGTAAAGAAGATGAAAATAAAAATACTGAACGAAAAATATATTTGGAAAAATAAACTAAAAGTCTAAAAGGTTTAATCTGTAGATTTCTTCATTGTCCTTTGTTGGAATAATGGACTAAAATTCTCTCCGTAGTTTTCTGTGATCGTCGCTCCTGTTTTCTCTCGCTGCAGAGACTCAACTTTAAAAAATGATTCATTTATATTTAACTACTTGATTCATTAGTTAATTATTTCATCTTTATCGTCTTTAAAAAAAACTCACCATGACATCATTTAAGCTCTTAAATTCACCCATCGAACTAAGTGGGCGGGACTAGGACCACTTCTATACAAACCCTGACATCTGATTGGCTGCTTTTCACTGAGAAGGACCAATCAGCTTCTCCCTGGATTTCTTTTTACTTTAAACTTGATATTTTAGCTGAAAAAGGAATAAAAACTTCTTAAAGGTTTTACAGCCCATTTATAGCACATTAGGGGAAATAGTATGGAGTCAGAAAGGGTCCAAAATATTTGTAAACGTATAAATTTTAGTTGAAGTTGATATTGAATGTCCAATTCTTACCTTATAATTTGAGAAACTAAAAAAAAACATAAAATAATAAGAATCTAATCTAAATTCTTCCCTCAGTTTGAAAAATTCATAATTGAGTTTAGTATTTTAATTACACGTTTTATTTCTTTATTGCAGTTTTAGATTTTCATATTTTAACCCCAATCTGACAAGAGGGGGGCGGGGAAACATGATTGGCAGTTTACATAGGCGCTGTAGAGATGTCTCTCTCCATGGTGCTTTCATGGACTGTGGGAATTTCAACTACTAAGTTAACACATTCTCTGCAGCATGTATTTACCTCGTTGTAAAAATCCTGAGAAAAATATTGCGTTAAAGACATTTACACTGCAACAGTCTCTAACCACCATTCCAGAATGCGTTATTATATATAAAAATAGACAGCCATTGTTTAAACAAATAACGTTCCCATGACTGCAAATTAAAGAAAAAAGTGTGAAAAAAATGTTTCAACTTTTATCTTTCCAGTTTCAACAAAGATTTATAAGTTTACAAACATTTTGACCCGTTTATGACTCCATAAAATAGTCCCG